GGTTACCAAACAGTGATTTTCAGAATAGCAATTGTAACCTTAAAGTTAATCTATGATGCCCACTAAAGTTTTTAAATATTCTAAACATGAGCTAAAACACTTTAAAGTAAGCCCCCATTAATCTCTGTATCTATACGCATTGTGAGGAAATTGATATTCAAAGTTCACAACACAGGCACTGTGTTTTTCTACAAAATTAGATCTTGTCAGATTGCTAGCCCTCTAATGTAAACAAATAGTAAGTAATTCTAAACTTGTACCATATAAAAAATAGGCAGAGCAGTGTCATAAAACAAAAACAATGTAAAAATCAATAATAATGAATATACTAATAATAGTAAACCCTCCACACAGTAACAGTAGTGTTTCTACAGTGACCAGTCTACCTGATCAGTGGCTTCTTCTGATTGTATGCACCTGCTGTTCAACCAACAATATTTAGCCCAGCTCCTTTGATTTTTCAATTGAAGGATGTTGGGCACAAGGGGGCCAACAGGGCCACCCACAAGTGAAGTTCCTGGTGAATCAGCCAAAATTCACACAGTGTGTGGGTACCTTAAGGCTGTCAATGTAATGAATCACATTAAGTGAATTACAGAAACAAATAAATACAATCATCTTCATTTGAGATTCGAAAAAGGTTCCTTTTTTTCAGTGCTCATTTTCCCAATTATACTCTTTGGTTCAAATGCAGATTTAAGTTATATATAGTGATGGGCCTCTGGTTCAGTCTGAACCTTGATTTGATCCAAACTTTTGCACCCTGAGCGCTCCCAGCATGAACGTTCGGTACTCACGGAAAGGTCCTGATCTCCTTTTTCGATCGGTACCTTTCCCAATCATGTGACTGCCGTGACAGCGAATCACGGCGGTCACATGGCCCTAAAACCTCGCCCCACCTCCCAGCTCCTGGAACCCTTAAAGGGCCAGGAAGCGCCGACAGCAAAGGGTTAATAATGGCATGCAATGCCAAGCTGCAATTTCTAAAGCGAGCAAAATCCTCTCTTGTATTAAAAGAAGTATAGACTCCAGAGAGAGAGATATCATATTACCCCTGTACAAATCATTAGTAAGACCTCATCTGGAATATGCAGTTCAATTTTGGGCACCAATTCACAAAAAGAATATTGGGGAACTGGAGAAAGTACAGAGATGGGCAATCAGACTGATAAGAGGCATGAAGGAGCTCAGCTATGAGGAAGGATTAGAGGAACTGAATTTATTCTCTTTTGAGAAAAGGAGCTTAAGGGGGGATATGATCAACATGTATAAATACATCAGCGGTTCATATAGTGAACTCGGTGTAGAGTTATTCATTATGAGGTCAACTCAGAGGACAAGGCAGCACTCTTTATGTCTGGAGGAAAAGAAATGTAATCTCCAAACACGGAAAGGTTTCTTCACAGTGAGAGCTGTGAAAATGTGGAATAGACTCCCTCAAGAGTTGGTTCTGGCCAGCTCAGTGCATTGCTTTAAAAAAAGGCCTGGATTATTTCCTAGCTACAAACAATACAACTGGATACTAACATTTATAGGTAAAGTTGATTCAGGGAATATCTGATTGCCTCTCGGGATCAAGGAGGAATTTTTTCCCCTGCAGGAGCAAATTGGATCATGCTTTGCTGGATTATTTTGCCTTCCTCTGGATCAATTGTGGGTATACGATTATAATTTTTTTTTTGGTTGAACTGGATGGGCTTTTGACTTTTTTCAGCCAGACTAACTATGTAACTATCTAAATTTCTTTGAACTTCCCTGAACCCTTCTCAAACCAAACTCAAGGCTGGTATAATGGAAATATCCAACTGGCTAACCAAGATGCAGATGATCTTATCACCTACTAATATTTTGATTCTCCATTTTACATATAATTTGGTCACACAGCTCTATGGCTCCCTTCATTAGAAGACTTTATAATAATTTATAATAAAATCAGTTTCACTAACACTTAAAGACTTATTGAGATGGTGGGGCTTCTGATAATGAAAAATAATAGATCATTCATTTAATAAGAGGAGTGTTTTGAGGAAGTGCATTGGCATAAAAGCATGATAAGTGAAGGAGCAAGCAGGGCAGTCACTGATGTCAATGATGTAAAATTATATGAGAAACTTAGTAACACACAGGTGCATGTTATCTAAATGAACAATAGAAAAGCATTTTTGAATTATAATAAAATTACCCTGTTTTCAAGGCAAAGCCACTCTGTATGATTTTAATTATACTTTACTGCATTTTCTTTTTAGCCTCTATGTTAATCTAAATGTTAGAACTGTTTAATTTTTTTGTGTTGATTAGCTGGATTGAGTTCTGGGGAATATACATATACACTGCTCAAAAAAATTAAAGGAACACTTTGAAAACACATCAGATCTCAATGGGGAAAAATATCATGCTGGATATCTATACTGATATGGACTGGGTAATGTGTTAGGAATGTAAGGATGCCCCATCGTTTGATGGAAATGAAAATTATCAACCTACAGAGGACTGAATTCAAAGACACCCCCGAAAATCAAAGTGAAGAAATGATGCAGCAGGCTAATCCATTTTGCTGAAATTTCACTGAAGCATCTCAAAATGGTACTCAGTATTTTGTATGGCCCCCACGTACTTGTATGCATGCCTGAAAATGTCGGGGCATGCTCCTAATGAGACGACGGATGGTGTCCTGGGGTATTCCTCCCAGATCTGGACCAGAGTATCACTGAGCTCCTGGACAGTCTGAGGTGCAACCTGGCAGCGTTGGATGGATTGAAACATGATACCCCGGAGGCGTTCTACTGGATTTAGGCCACGCGAGCATGGGGACCATTCAATGGTATCAATTCCTTCATCTGCCTGCATAGTCTCGACACATGAGACTGAGCATTGTTGTGCACCAGGCGGAACCCAGGACCCACTGCACCAGGATCTGACAATGGGTCCAAGGATTTCATCACAATATCTAATGGCAGTCAGGGTGCCATCATTCAGCCTGTAGAGATCTGTGTGTCCCTCCATGGATATGCTTCCCCAGACCATCACTGACCCACCACCAAAATGGTCATGCTGAATAATGTTACAGGCAGCATAACGTTCTCCACGGCTTCTCCAGACACTTTACATCTGTCACATGTGCTCAGGTGGTGGACCTGCCAATTCTGGTGCTCAATGGCAAATGCCAGTCGAGCTCTATGGTGCCAAGCAGTGACTACAGGGCCCACTAGAGGATGTCGGGCACTCAGGCCATCCTCATGAAGTCTGTTTCTGATTGTTTGGTTAGAGAAAGTCACACCAGTGGCCTGCTGGAGATCATTTTGTATGGCACTGGCAGTGCTCATCCTGTTCCTCCTTGCACAAAGGTGCAGATACCAGTCCTGCTGATGGATTAAAGCCCTCTCCAGCTCTCCTAGAGTAACTGCCTGTCTCCTGGAATCTCCTATATGCTCTTGAGACTGTGCTGGGAGACACAGCAAACCTTCTGGCAATAGCATGTATTGATGTGCCATCCTGGAGGATTTGGACTGCCTGTGCAACCTCTGTAGGGTCCAAGTATCGCCTCCTGCTACCCGTAGTGACAGTAACCCTAGCCAAATGCAAAACTAGTGAAAAATGGTCAGAAAAGATGAGTAGTGAAAAAAACATCAGTGTCCTGCACCTGTAAAACCATTCCTGTTTTGGGGGTCGTCTCATTGTTGCCCATCTAGTGCACCAAAGCATTTGAAACTGATTAACAACCCCTCTGCTACTTAACTAACCAGATCAATATCCCAGGAGTTTAATTGACTTGATGCTGTACTCTAATTAAAAAGTGTTCTTTAAATTTTTTTGAGCAGTGTATATGTATGTGTGGATATATACAGTTTATGCGTATATTTAATGCTGTTGTTCAAGAGCTGCAATGTAAAATTCTGTTGTATTGAATAAAATGATACTAAAGTAAATATTCTAATCTAATTTTATTGAGAAGAAATAGGGAGTTGTGCGGCACACTTGTGACTACATAATAAGAAAAACTAAGGAGAACGTGCTGCCACCCCCTAAGAAGTGACTGCGAGCTGCTGCATGTACCCAAATGTGTCCCATAAACCAATCAAGTAAATATATAAATGGATGCTGTGCTGCTCCCTTAAAATATAATAAATACAAATCCAATCCAAATTAATTAATTCAAATTTCAGAAATCTTCTATAACTTCATACCAACCATGAGTGATAAGTGAATAAAAATTAACCAAATAAATATTCCAATATATATCAAAATAAATGCCCAGCTGAGCGCCCCCCCTCAGTAATAACATAAATTAATATATGGTATAAATGAACCAAAGTGCAAAATATAAAAAGTAAAAAATGAATGACTCAAATAAACACCCAGTTTGGCACCACTGAAAATAGTGACACTAAATAAAACATAAATATAATACAGTGTATGTGTATGAACATACATACATAGCAAATATTAATTCTTGGTAAACACCTGGCTGAGCACCTTACCATTACCAGGTGATCATGTCATGTGAATAAGATGAGTGCAAAAGGTAAAGTCAAAATAAAGATTTAAAAATAATACAGTTTCAAATAGTTTGTTAGGCAAAATCTTAAATCTTAAAATAAATCCACCCGTGACCTTTTATTTAACCACTTGCCTACAGGGCACTTATACCCCCTCCTGCCCAGGCCAATTTCCAGCTCTCAGCGCTGCCACACTTTGAATGACAATTGTGCGGTCATGCAACACTGTACCCATATGACATTTTTATCATTTTTTGAGACAGATAAAGCTTTATTTTGGTGGTATTTAATCACCTCTGGGTTTTTAATTTTTTCTTAAACAAACCAAAAACCACTGAAAATTTTGGAAAAAAAAAAAAGTTTTCTTAGTTTTTCTTATAAACTTTTGTAAATAAGTGATGTTTCTCCTTCACTAATGTGCGCTAATGAGGCTGCAGTGATGGGCACTGATAGGCTGCACTGATAGACACTGATAGGTGGAACTGATGGGCACTGATGAGGAGGCACTGATGGGCATTGACAGGCATCACTGATGGGCACTGAAAGGCAGCACTCATATATGGCACTGATAGGTGGCACTGATAGGCGGCACTGACTGGCACTGATAGGCGGCACTGACTGGTACTGTTAGGTGGCACTGACTGGCACTGTGAGGCGGCACTGATGGGTACTGATAGGCGGCACTGATGCACACTGATAGGTGGCACTGATTGGCAGCACTGATAGGTGGCACTGACTGGCATTGATAGGTGGCACCGTCTGGCACTGATGGGTGACACTGAAAGGCAGCTCAGATGGGCACTGATATGTGGCATTGATGGGCACTAGGAGGCACTGATATGTGGCATTGATGTGGCACTGATGGGCACTGGCAGGTGGCATGGATGAGCACTGACAGCTGGCACTGATGGTCACTGACAGGTGGCACTGCTGGGGCTACACAAATCATCAGGGCACACTGATCATCAGTGCTCTGATGATCAGTGTACATGTCCCCTCTGAGGGATGCAGATTACCGGCTCTGCTCTCCTCTCGAGCTGTCAGCGTGACAGCTCGTGAGGACAGAAATGCCGATAACCGGCATTTCCCTATTTACATGTAATCAGCTGTGATTGAACACAGCTGATCAGATGACCGAGCCGACATCTTCGGCTCTTTCCGTTGATCGGTGATCCGCTGTGTCCGAGGGACACAGCGCACTGCCGATCGTCGCGCTGCGCGCTCCTGGAGCCTCGCATGCGCGGTTAGAATGGGACGACGTCATATGATGTCCTCCCAGAACGAGAGAACTACCTTGCGCCCATCATTGTACTATATGGCGGGCTCCTCCACCTTCCAGCATGCATGCTCACCCTAATGTTTTATCCAGAGGCTAGTTAGATCACACGTGCTCTTATTAGATGAATCTCCAGGCAGATCTCTTGGATATCTCCACATGTATGGATTCCTTACAGTCTCCCTCCAATTGGCCAATACTCAAAACATAAAGAACAGAGGACTTCCCATAGTTTAGTAAATTATTTTAATTCATAAAAAGCAGAAAAAAGCTACTCACATGTTGAAATTGGAGTCCACAGACCTGTACAAGCATGTATAACAATAAAACAGCAGCATCCATATATACATAATAAGAACAGATACTAAGATTAACTGTGCAGTGTACACACAGATATAACAACACACACTAAGGCTGGCCATACACTATACAATTTTCTTACAATTTTCTGTCCAATTTCTGCCCAATTTCCTTTACATTTACCTTCAACTATATAGTGCAAGGGCCCGCCTAACTAGGTACAATTGAAAGTATTATTTAGGTTTGACCTCATTTTATATGTTTTTGGTAAATCTTAAGCAAAATTCTCAAGAAAATTGTATCATGTATGGCCAGTTTAAGAATTACACCCTGCATACCAGAGAAGTGAAGGGGTACTGTGCAGTGTCCTTGGGAGGAAAGACAATTGCTAGATTTCTTCATCAACACAGTCAGTGTTGATGGAGGAATCTCTCCCACAGTGTTATTGTGTTTGGTAGACGGGGAGCCTTCCCTGCCTGCAGAACACAATTTTAATTTTGTCTGAGTATAGATATATGTTTGCCCCAAGTATGCTTGAATCCTCTTATTATTGACTGACTCACTACCACTGCTGGAAGTCTATTCCAAGCATCAACTACTCTTTTGGTAAAATAATACTTTCTAAGATTAGCTTTGAACTTTCCTGCTGTTAGTTTGATGTCATGTCCCCCTGTTCTTGATCTTGACTTCATATTGAAAATACTACCCTCTTGAACCTTATTCACCTGCTTGTGTTTAAAGGTTCATTCATGTCTCCACTTTCCCTTCTACAGACTGCACATATTAAGTTCCCAAAGTCTTTCCTGATTTATTTTTTCCCTTCACCATTTTCTTGCTCATTCTATCTTATCAATATCTTTTTGTAAGTGAGGACTACAGAACTGGACACAGTATTCTAAATGAGGTCTAACTAAGGGTCTATATAGGGGAAATAGGACCTCCTTCTTACTGCTGGTGATCCCGCTATTGACACATCCTAGAATTCTATTCACTTCTCCCACTGCCTGGTCATACTGCCTGCTCATTTTTCAATCATCTGAAAAAAGTGTCCCTAACTTATACATGTTGTCTTGACTTAAGACTTTTTTTTCAGTAAAAGTACAAAGATATATAGATATATATTTATATATATATATGCTTATTTTATAAAATGTTTAAGCAGCAAAGCACAAAGTATGAAAATTTAAATTTAGTACAGCAACCAATCAAAATCCATCTTTAACTGGTCTTATTTGGTGAATTGGTTGCAAAGCTTTACTGCACTTATTGCGCATTTTATTTTATAAGACTGAGGTTTTTCTTTTAAATGCTAATAGTGACTTGTGAATTATTGATTCTGAAGTTAGAAGTAAAATATTCAAGCACAGACAAAGCAAAAAGTCTCATAATGATGATGGATTTTTGCATACATATATGATTTATAAATTGTTTGAATATATAAGAATGATATACTTTAGAACAATCAGGAGAAAATAATAAAGAAAGCAAAAGAATGAGATTCTGGAAGCCACAAGTACACATTTACCTTTCAATTTGAGAATTGTGTAAAATTTTTGGTGGTGTAACATGCTTTTGTGTCCTTCTTGCAGGCAGGTAAAATAAATGAATGTATTAGACTGTTTACTGCGAGTATAATCTAGAAAAAAAAACGCAAAACATGATAATTAGTTTTGGTCAACAACAGTAATTATAAATACTTACGTGAATAAATTGGACAGCCAACCTCTGCATGCACAAATACAGCAATTTATTTTTTTATAGAAACCTAAAAGTAAATTATATAATTGTAGATCAGTTGCTGATGCTGACATTGCCCGACAAGTTCCCCAGCATAGTCCTTAGCTAGTTAGCGGGGAAAAAAAAACTAATTGATCTCTCTCTCTCTCTTTATATTATTATTTTTTTTATTATTATTAATATTATTATTATTATTTTATTGTGAGGCACTGACTGGTGAGGTAAGGAGCTCACATGGTCAGGGTATCCAGGGAGAAAATAATCTGCTACCTGCCCCAGTGAACTAATAAAGGTGTCCATTAGGCCCCTTACTGTTTATCCCAAGATAAAGACAATGACACTCTTTTTAAATAAATTCAATTCAAAATAAAACAAACACATCCCAGGGGTTTAAAGGAAACTGTCACACACAAAAGAGCTCTTGAACATAGATAAAGGAATAGGTTTCAGCTGATTTAGTAAGGTTGAGTCACTAAAAAAGTAAAATGTTCACTAAGCGCAGCAAAGCTCATTTTGATCATCCAGTCATGTGCCTGTGATTACTATTTTGCTTGCACATGATTGGTTCACATGGCTAAGTCAACAATCTACTCATATAGTATATAAACCCCAGTGAATCTGAATCCAGAAAAACTTTAAAATGTAAAACAAATTCCACAGTTGTAAACTGTCGCTTGTTTTCTTCTCTCCCTTGAAATACTATCTTTATCTCTTATCCCTCATATTAATCATCCTTCCACTCTCCTCTTACTATTTTAATTCTTAGAGATCTGTAAATGATGTATTTTATTTGTAGTTTTGTATCATTAACATGATGTGACTTCTTGTACCTTTAAAGTGTATAGTATGAACACAAGTTCACTGGTCTGGAAAAGCTCCCTCCCATCAGTAAATGACCCTCTGTTTGCTCACTTGAGCAGTACTCCCAAGTACCTTTGAGATAAGAAAATTATATATGGCAAGGTAGAGGAGATTCATAACAAAAGTGTTTTCTATAGGAATGCCATTCACACATCGAAACCTTTTACATAATTAAGGGATCATTTTGAGCCCACATGATAAGGAAATATGTTTTTTTTTTAAACACAGTAGGTTGATTTACCAAAGAAGCTAAGGACTGTTCGCTTAGCAAATATAATGACAGTAAATAAGGTGGACCATTGTTGTAATACCCAATCATAGGTAGGGAAAATTAAAAAAAAAATAAACAGGATTTTTGATAGCATATGATTTGTTGATTGAAATTTCCCCTTATGTTTTAAGCTCAGTGAACAAACACAATGTAAATGGAACATTTAGTTGGGTAAGCAAACCATCTCTATTTCTTATTTTTTCCTGGAGCCATTGTGTTACCATTTTAGAATTATATAAAAGAAAGAAACAGCAAAAAATACCCTTCATACTGTCAGTAACGACGTCGAAATAGAATCACAGCCAACGACAAGGTATACAAGCTTCCAAAACTCTATTTGAAAGTTCTAACAGAGGTTTTAGCTCTAGGAAAAGATTAATATAATGGGTCCTCTTTTACAGTATTTTTTATACAGTTTTTTTGTTTGTTTTTAATTTTACAGTGCTGAGGGGTTATCTTGAAATAACTCCAACCAACAAAAGAATGAATATTTACTGCTGGATACATTTAGATGCAGTAAGGAATAATGCAATAAGGTGCATCTTTTAGCATGATGCATAAAAGAAATAAGGAAATAGTTCAGGTATATTTAGACTTTTTTGTGAAATCTGCAGGAAAACTCATTAGATGCACAATGCGGTGCATCTATTAACATGATGCTAAAAGGAAATAAGGGAATAGTTCAGCTATATTTAGATATTTTTTTGAAAACTGCAGAAAACTGCAATAATACTCAGTATAAAAATTCAACATATAGGTGCAATAAAACTCAAATTTGTAGATCATGGCTTGGAAGAGAATATAAATGTTATCATGGATTATCACCATCACCATCATTAATTATCCCTAAGACCAATTGTGAATGACTGCCCTCCCCCAGCATTCCTGATGGGTTCTGTAGATGCAGGCATAGCAGTTAGGACAGTTTTCCATTACAGTAGCAAAGTATCAAGATCTCGGTGGGGTGTAGACAAGTAAGCACACAACTTAGAGGGGGTGTTGGGAATGGCACTGAGGCTCAATACAGGTATATGCACTATTAGTTGCTGCCAAAATAGTCTGGATAGTGAGTGTCAGAAAACTTTGCTTTAATTTGCCTTCCTGATTTCCTACAACCCTGATCCTTTGCCTCCCCTAATCATTTAATGGAGGTCATCATTCCCGGCCAGGGGCGGACTGACAACTCATGGGGCCCATGGGCAATAGGGGATCGTGGGGCCCCTGTGTCCTTTCCAAAACTCAAAAAAGCCTATGAAAAAGGTACCAGGGGCATCTCATGGGGCCCCCTACTGACCCCGGGCCCTCGGGCAGTGCACCCCTGTTCCCGGCTGAATTTTGTCTTACTCT